GTCTCAAGACTACATCCTCTTCCGTAATGGTATTTGGACGCTGATAATTTTGGAGGGGTAGGGTACCAAAGCGCAGTTATGGTAGCAAATGAAAGTACCGCACACCGAACTGGGTAGCGACCCGTACTAGCACCTGTACTTGACTATTAAATACCTTATCGCGCCACCCAGATGTACAGCTCAGTGTTTTCATCCTTCTGAATGTTGGTGCAAGGTGAGGGACTCTAGAGTTACAGGTGACTCCCGCAACTTCCATCCTAGAGTTAATTTCGCACCTTGCGCTTGTAGCGATATGCCATGGCCATTCCTTCACCCCAAGTCATGATAGCGACAAAAGCAGCTGCAAACGCTGAGTATTTTGGTTTTTCTTGTTTCTTCGCATCCCAACGCGCCTTATTCGATCACTAGTGAAATAGGTGCCTGGGCTATGCAAGCGCAAACGCCAGAAGAGCGGGAGAGCCAGCACAGCTTTGAGCACCCTAGGTTTCAAATTTGCAAAGACACCCCTATCGTAAAACTCCTTACGAAACCAAATGATGGCCAACGACGCTGCTAATTTCTTGCAGATTCCAGGCTCACGACTTAGCATACGAGACACCTCATGAGCAAGTACGGGGCTTCAAGATTGTACTGATCTCCCCAGATCTAGTTTGATAGGCGGAGGTCACAACGACTTATCTTGCAAATTGGCCCAAACGCTATTCTGACTGCCATAAAGTCGTAGTTTGGCTGCAGTGGGACCCAAATGGGATCTTGGATAGAGCTTGGTGTCGTTATGGAGATGCAATAAGAGCTGCAATGCAAACTAACGTGCATGTATTGTCAAACAAGGCCCTAACTGACGCAGAGCTGTCTTGCTACAGTATATCGAGAGAACAACCTACCCGCAATGAGCATCTTTAACCAACAACCAGTGAAGCTTTTTCCGCATTTCTTTATAGAGTGCCATATAGCATTATTCTCATTGTCTAAGAACGCTGTCCCAATCATAGATCCTCGAAGTATCATTGGATTCACCGTTGAAGGCAAGCCGTGCACCCTTTGCCGTGAATTTCGGTCCTTGCCATGTGTTGAGCGAATGATTCGTGGGTGCGTGCCACCTCGGTCAGAAGCACACAAGAACTGGGCTGAAGGGTAGTGATGCAGGATACCGTTTCCATACTCCGCCCGCGCTGTGGCTTTTCCAGCCAGGCGCTCAGTCATAGCCAGAGATATACAGTCGTGATCCCTCAGACTGGCCATCCGTAATTGCGTACTTCACTGGGACGCGACGGCGGCTGCAGTAGGAGTGGCGATCGATGCTGCATGATCACCTGATTTCAGCGATTAATTTTTCTATTTTGCCTGTTATTCTGCTAACTAGAAGGAAAAGTGAGTTCATATTATTTACTCTAATTTGAGGTTTTATTGTATATTTTGCTTTCAGTCGCTATTTGACTGCAGTGACGGTGTTTTTACCCACTTTTTGATTTTGTTTAGGTTTTTTGTTTGTGCTTTGAATGTTGGACTGTTCTCCATGGCAGTGTCGTTATGTGTCCTCATTAGTACAAAAAAAACCTAAACAAAATCAAAAAGTGGGTAAAAACACCGTCACTGCAGTCAAATAGCGACTGAAAGCAAAATATACAATAAAACCTTAAATTAGAGTAAATAATATGAACTCACTTTTCCTTCTAGTTGGCAGAATAACAGGCAAAATAGAAAAATTAATCGCTGAAATCAGCTGATCATGCAGCATCGATCGCCACTCCTACTGCAGCCGCCGTCGCGTCCCAGTGAAGTACGCAATTACGGATGGCCAGTCTGAGGGATCACGACTGTACCTGTATCACCTGTGTTGACCAGGATTGGTGTCCGCCTTTTGCACAGCTTCTCATTTCCACTCTTGTGGAACTACGGCAACC